CACCTAATAAAACCGGCTTTTTAGGAGAGGATTGCCCTCACCTTATAAAGTGGATCATTTATATTTTCCCAAACAATGTGGGATTCTAATAATGGCAATGGAAGTCTTGTAATTATAAATGATTTACTGTGCAGGTAGATGCAACTCCGCATTCCACTTCCACAATTCTTTCATTTTCGACAGCAATACCACAATGGGATGGTTACAAATATACGGAGCTTTCATATACTTTTAGATAGTAACTCTACAGCATATATCATTGACTTGCTACACAACTGGTTTGAGTCATGCATATCCACTTCTTTACCTCTAGCTTTCAACGAGGACTATGAGCCAATATTTAAGAATTAAATATTCCACCTTCAACTTTAAATCATAAAGAATAATCATGCATTTGATGCACAAGGAATATAAGAAAAAGGTACCCACTACACTAAACCAATGGAACTTCACAATGACAAGATATTGACAAAGGTGTGAAAAATTTTCAAAACACATAGAATGACAGAAATTGGTGATGGCATAGGATAAAAGCAGAATTGAAGCAAACAACTTCGTGTCAAGCATGAAATCAAAAGTCTACACCTAAGGACAGCGATGAAATAAACTATGCCGAAGTCAAAATCCATGTCAATAAACCCATCAAGCACCCAACATTAGTAACACCAACTTGGTATAATATTTGACATACACAGAAACAATCTAATGGCAACTCAGAAACTCTTAATATGTAAGTGTCATAAACAGTAGGTGAGAGCTACTCACATTGCGCAAGCTCCCTAGTGTTTCAGGCAAATTCAGTAGAAGGTTTCCAGATATAGATAGCCGCTCTAGTTTCACCAATTGACCCACTAAAATAAAAAAATCAAGATATGGTGTGCTGTAAGTAATAAAACCCTCAAAGTTAATCAACAAAGGAGAAATTTAACCCAAAGGTTCAACTACGGTCAATACTAAATCCTGTAAATTGGAGCAAAAGAAACTCACATTCATCAGGCAATGTGGTAACTCGATTTCCATCAAGTGTCATAACTTTTAACGATTGAAGCTTCCCCAGGTTCATTGGAAGACGCTCAATGACATTATCAGCTAAAATCTGTAAGAACCAATCTCTTAGAAGAAGTTCACCATCTCAATATTAACATAAATATATAACATTACTGGGACCTAGAAACAAGTATCAAGTGCAAATACATTATTTCACCTCTGACCCAAGAAAATAGGAGTAACTGTTTGACTGGTGGAAGTGACACTGACAGTTGTTTCAAAGCATTATTCATTTCTTAAATATGCGGAACTAATAATAATTTGAATATATAGAAGTCCTATGATGCTCGGACTCGGGTACGGGTACGTATGTAAGTGTCGAATCTGTTATTTTCTAAAATGAAGGATACGTAGACATGGTTAAAAAGAGTCCAAATTTTGGATATGGATACGTTGATATGTGTTTCAAACTTCAATTTTTTTACTAATTCAATTATAGTAAAACTTATCTGGTTTTAGTTAATAACAAAAAGAAGGAAATGAATTTTAAATAAGAGTTGAGATGAATAAAATAGAATTTAGGAGCTTAGTTTTCAATTATAGATTACTAAATGTTATATAAAATAGAAAATGAGGGATTTGATTGCAATTTGGACTTAATGGAGCACTAAGTAACACTATATGGAACTCATTTTCATTTTATACAAACAAAATCCTAAACCATCGATATATAGAGAGAACGAAAGAAAATAAAAAAGAAAATGGAAAGAAAAAAAAAAGAGAACCTAGCGCCGTCGCGTTAGGTTTATAGAGAGCAAAAAGGGGAAAGAAAAAAAGGAAAGGAAAAGAAAAGAAATGAAATGAAAAAAAAAAAAAAAGACGAGAGAAGAAAGAAGAAGAAGCAAAATCAATGAAGTGTCCGGTTGAAATTTGGAGGATCCAACACATATCCCATGCACATATCCATGTCGTATCATGTCGTGTCCGACACGAGTACTTCGACTATTTTGAAGAGTCTGAGCATCAAAATGTAGAACTAATCATAATTCGAATATTATATTTTTATAAAAATTATTAAAATAATAAAATTTTCACACTAATATTTTATAATAATATGACTATTTAACTTAAATACTTATTGGTAATTTGACATTCTATCTCCTTATAAGTACTGAATTTACCAAATGTGAAACTATTTACAAATTCATTGTCGCCAAAAGTATATAATGATTATTTTAAAATAATAAATTATGAAGTTAATTTAAAATAATATATTAAACAATTGTTCCACTCAAATGTCCATCTTTAAAAAGAAGAGAATAAAGTAATAATGATTATAATTACTATTTATAATGTAACCCAAAACATTAAATTTTCGATTTTATCATCTAGGAAAATCCATAAACGGTTATTGCCTCTGTTACAATATCGGATGCCACGTGTAGTTCAAGAGTTACAATCCATTACATCATCAAACCTAGTGTTTGAATCGGTACAATTCTTTATGATGATTTGTACCTAAATACAACTTGTAACAATGTCTATACTGTAATGTTGAGCATGGTTAATGACAACTTAGAATTTTGACTCGAGACATTCGGTTTAGTTCATCCAAAGAAATGAAAACCCATGGACATCAGCAGCATTATTTTTTAACGAGAATAGAGATATCAAACAATCCACTTTCTGTAAATTCCATGTGATTTTAGCTTTCACCTTTAACTTGTGCGAGTCTTTTAAAGAGAAATAAAAACATTTAATTACCCATTCACACTGGTAAGCAAAATTGCTCTTAGCATATAAAGCACTGTTGCACCATTTCATATATATTATAATTAACTATTAATATAATTATAAGTTCCAGAAGACGAACGCATAGATACAAATACTCAAATCTGAAATTCTTACCAGCCGTTGCAAGTTAATCAATTTGTTTATCTCCGTGGGAATATCAACTGAAACAGCACATATAGATAAAGAGAGTTTTAGGTAAGTGAAGTTACAGACACAGGAACAGCTAATTTTTTTATTTTGGTTTTGGTTTTGGCTTGTGTGCATGCATAAATTCCAAAACCAAGACTCCCAATGAAACTAAGGCAACCACAACACTCAAGAATTGATTTAAAAAGAAAAATGCTAACAAAAGAAGGTGCTTCAAATAATAAAGATCATTACCTAATTTGTTGTGCGTTAAATCAAGGGTACGAACAGATCTTTCTAGGTCAATAACTTCATCCGGAAATGTCTGCAACCAGAACAATGGAAAACCCAAAAACACATAATCAGTAAGGGCATCTCCAACCATAGCACCAAATTAGTGTTTTTGGTTCAAAAATCACTCCAACCCAACACCAAATCTCTACACCAATTAGGTGAATGATCAGTCTTGCAACAAATATGGTGCACACTGTTCTAGTTTTTGCCTACAATCTTCTGGAACTAAGTCTTTTCTAATTAT